ATGAAGCCTTCTTGGTACTGGCACTCGCATCTCCAGGGTGCCATCACGAGGGGTCCACTTGCAGGAGTTTTACATGCAAGGTTAAAGGGCACAAACCTTGCGCTAACCCACCCTTTTTAACCACCAGAGCACTGCCTTATATCAGATGCTGTGTTATTGCTGCAAGAGCTTAGCTCCAGAATCAAATCCAGCGCTTGTTCTGCTGCTCGCGCTGAGATTTAACTCCACGTGGTTCCCTTCTCCCGTTTGCAGTTTTTGCTTGCAGTAGAGAAGGTCAGGTTGCATGATATCATGTCATGTTCTTTCTCTAGGTGTGTGTGTGTGTGTGTGGGGGGGGTGTTCATGTGTGTTAAATATATTGATTCCCTGTGTTTTAGACTGGAGGATCTCTAAAGCAGCTTACACCAATGAATTCAGGCCATATGAGAATAAAACTCCAGGGATGAAGCAGCTGCTTTTTCACAAGCAGTAAAAAAACAATCAAAGCCCCCACCTGCTCGCAAAAACAATGAACTCATCTCTACAGAAAGCGGTGCTCTTTTACCTCCCGTTATGCCCCCAAAGGGTCCAGTCCGTGTTGTGCCCCCCTTTCGGTGGTGGTCTCCAAACCCCCGCAAACTCATAGGAAAGTACAGTCTTCCCACCCAGAGGTGCGCTGTTCCTATATAGCCTGTGAGGAGGAGACACAAACACATTTCCCTCTTTTTGTTTCATTGACCCAGAGATGACCTTTAGCAGGGACTACATTGATCTCACGGGAGCGGGGCCACCACTACCAAGACCTTGTTCTTAACTCTTGCACTTTTAAGCTCAAGAAATGTGATCTGCCCTGAGTTTCTTGGAAGGAAAAGAAAAATGGGGTAAAAATGTAACAAACAGGCAGGCACACAACTCACTTGGCCATAGTCTTCCACAGCATGGTGAGCTGGATTACCTTGCTCTTCCGTCTGTAATGATGATGTCTAATGTATACGTATCAATTAGCACTTGCAAACTTTATGCAAACCACCAGCCTCTTCCGCTCTCTTTTCTGGTGACTTGGTCCATCTTTCCTGGACTCCTCACCACACCTCCTCAGCCCCCAACCACGGCAGTCTCCAGGCTCCCAAGGACTTTCGATGGACATGCACCGCCTCACTCGGCTGGCCTACCAAGATTACCCCTACCCAAATAGCCACAGATCCCCCTTGTTCTATTCCTTGATCTGTTTTGCCCACAGCACAGCTTGTTCCTCTTGATGAGAAGTGAGAAAACGTCACCCTCTCTGGGCTTCCTTTTGCCTGACCTGTAAAAGTTAAACAGCTGAATTATGTAAGAAAAGAGGGAGACAAGTTCCCAGTCAATCATGAAGTCAAAATATCCAAGAGTTTTGGGTGCAGGGCGGGGGGAGAAGGCTGCCGTCTCTTAGTTGGCCTGTCAACTAAGGAAGAAAAAGCTTCTGTTGTTTGTGTTTGTCTGTTTGTTTGGTTTCCTACCGCCACCTCCTTCACTTGGGAAGACGGGCGTTTGCTATGAAGCGAAAGTTGCGGAGCAAGGACTGAATGACTGTGTTATTGAAACGACAGAACATGCCTGGAGAATATTTATGCTCCACACATATCACTTATGCACTGAGGCATCTGTCAGGCTGCTGGACTTTACGTCGGCTGATTACATTTTCGCAAACCGTTTTCTAAGAAGCCCATTCCCACTTCCTTTTGCTGTGCAGCTCGGCGTCCAAAATTTCATTTACAAATTGCGTCTTTTTCTTTCCATCCCCCCGCCCTCTGCCACCCGCACTAATCTCATGGATGGCGCTAATCCTGTATTGTCACTGCAGTGACTCTCCTGTGATGGGAGCACACTAGGGGTGGGATGGCGGGGGGAGCAAGCAATTCCTGTGCTCAGCCGTCTAACCAGCAAAGCCGGGTTTACAAATGTGAGGAAAATCCGGGGTTCTCTTGTCTCACGAGGACATAAACAGCAGGCTTGCGGACGTGATGCTACGACTAATTCCCAGCCTGGGCTGTATTTACTGTGGCTATTTACGATGGTTGGGCATGATTTCCTGATACGATTATTATTTAGAAGGGTTTAGAAAAGTGGGGCAAACCTATGTTGGCTGCGCAGTGCTAATGTGCGGGTTGAGAGGGTGTTTACTGGGAAGAATTAGTGGGTGAGATGGGTGGGAGGGGGGTGCTTAACCCTTTCTCTCGCAGCCCAAACCTCCTGCACCGGTCTCTTCTTGGGCCTGTTCTGTCCCCAGACCACACCTTACGCTGCTGTAAGATGGGGCTTTCAGCCTGCAAATGATGCGTGGGGAGAGGAATACGGAGGGATCACTCACTGGTGGAGGAAAGCTATCCATTTTGGGGATGGGAATCCATCGGATCCCCTGCGCTCAGCTCCCTGGACTCCCGTCCACTTTCTCACAGCCATGAGGCTGAGTTCCCAGGGAGCATGTTTGTGCTACACCATCTGTCCACCGTGTACGTGGACTTCCTTTCTGCTTGGCTCACTTGCTGAGTTACACAGGAGCTGGACTGTGAATGCTAGAGGGGCAGATTCCTTGGTGCTTCGACACCCATAGTGCTGAAACTCATGGTGCGAGAATGGTGGATCCTTGAGAACTTCTGATCTTTGTGATTGCTTTATGGAATTACCGAACTGCAACCTTCCAGACCAATGTGCAGATTGTGATGTAGTTACGAGGTGAGGACTGTGGGACCTCATGCCTCGAGACTGATTTGAAACAATTATGTGGTTTTTATTGACTTAGGATCCTGTTTAAGAACTGTTGGCAACTGCCCAGAGACCTCACGCTTTAACTTTTTAAAAGTGCACATTAGTTTTGAAAAGGGGGTGGAAGAGAGAGCCATGCATAACTATTTGCTGTTATTTTTCAAGGCTGGGCTCGGAAGTGTTTTTGGTCATTCTGTTTCCAGTTGCTGGGTGGCAGGTGGGCTAGAACAAGAAGCGCTGTGGCTTGTAGTCTCCGGGTCCAGGTTGCATCCAGCTGGCTGTGGTGGAAAGTAAAATGTTTGGCTAGACAGTACTTTCCAATGCCGTTTTTCTGGGTGGACACCTCGCACATCCCAGGAGTGTGCCTGAAACAGAGAAATGCAAATGTGGCCCTTGGTTTTCTTATGGCAACCAAGTCCTGCATTGTTGACGTTCGAAGTAAAGCTGTTAACCTTTTGCTTTTGGCAGTGGCGATCACAGGGAGAAAGCCTGATAAAGGAGCAGGAAGAGAGGGATGTGGGGAATGGCGCCATGGAACCTGTGACCTGCCCGGTGCCATGGGTCCAGGGCTTTCCGTGAAGACGCGCCTCCCCTCCCCTCCCCTCCCCTCCCCTCCCCTCCCCTCCCAGTGCCACCACCTGTCTTTGTTCTCTGCTTTCAGAGGAATGATCAAGAACAAAACTGAGAGGGGAGAGAGGGAGGGGGTGACTTTGCAGCTGATTAATCATCAGGAAACTGTAATCTCTAGCAAAGTGTTTGGGATCATTATTCAAAGCCTCCCCACCCCCTCTTTGGGTCTGAAATGAACCAGTGAAGTACAACAGCAGCCTTCTCTAATTATTTCCTTGTGCTCGATGCGGCTTTATTTGTGTATGGGGAGCAAGCCATTGCTCTTTCAGCAAAGAGGAGACAGTTCCCGGGGTCGTGCCTTTTGAGCACCCCCACCGAGTTTATTTGGGGAGCTCACTTGACGAGGCCACAGTACCCTCCCCACCTTTTATTGACAGGCAAAACGGCCTCCAAAAAGCTGAGACTTCCTAATAACATGGGGCTAGGCTTCTCTTTTTCGGTGGACGGCCGTTTCAGGACGTGGCCAGGCCTGGCACTTGGTTAATGCAGGCCAGTCCTCAGCTGCCTGGACCTGTTTTCCTGGCCCGAGTTAGAAAAATACGTAGCAGAGTCCACGGGTCTGGAGGACTCTGACCTGTGGATTCTCCGACAAGCCCTTGAAGGAAGCTCTTCCCGGCACGGCTGTGGATGCATTTGCGCGGGAGAGGAGGAGAGGTCGAACTGGCCCCAGCCATGAGCCATGCCGCACCAGTGCTGGAGTGGCTTATCAGAAGAGGAGTGTGTGTGTATTTGTGTATCCACCGCTCCCTCCCATGGCCTCTCTTCCCCATATTCGGATGGCCGGCATCTGCAGCACGCAATATCTAGGTCAGCCAAGTACACGTCTGACCAGATGTTAGGTAACATATTGCTTCCTCTCTTGGGAGTGAAAAGGTTGCAAAGGCCTGAAGGATGATGGGAGCTCTCTTTGGGAACAAGCCAAATTCGACAGAGAACTGGAAAGCTGCGAGAAGGGAGGGAAGGCAGTTGCAGCAAGAACATGCAAGGAATTATCACTCTTGATTTCACTGCAGGCTCCGCCAACCAAAGTGGGGGCATTTTCCTTCTGGCTGGGTTCTTCTGAAATACGATCCTCTCCCCCTCCGTTCCCCTTCCTCCTCCTTCAAAGGCAGCCAGCAGAACTTTGGCTAAAGCAAAGCTATCCAACATCGTATCCTCTGCCGTCTGAGAAAGGTTGCACCATGCTTTTCTTCTGTAAAGTCCAAAAGGTGGCAAACTAAAACAAAAGGAAGGCAATCTATGTCACTCTCTATCTAGTTGATTAAAAAAGGTTATTGTAACAATACAAGCTGAGCTTGAAAGTAGGATCTAGGAAATGCCAAAGCTGTTAAAAAGACAGTTGAACAAAAATTGATTTCACTGGGTGTCCAGTGGGCCTGGAGAAACACAGGGGGCTGCCTTATTTGGAGTCAGACTACCGTCATCCAGATCATAATTTCCTGTAGAAAAAATAGGGTAATTCTACAATCACGGTGCCACCCCCAGAAAAGCCATGTTGATGGGAGCCACCAGTCTGGCTTCAGAAGGTGAAGGCATCCAGGTATAGGTCTTGGATGATGACCTGAACACCTGGGAAGGTTTGCAGGGGAGTCAGCTTCCTTATGGTCATGCTGGTGATGATTTCATGGGGTTCTGTGATTTTTGACAGCATGGCTGTTCAGGTTTGGGACAAGACAGGTGAGTGTGCTTTTTCAAGCCTGCGAGCACCTCTGTATAAAGAGCGGGGGCCCTAGACTTTTGCTCCCTTGAGCCAAGCAGTGGTTCCCCTTTGCAATACTGGGTTTAAGAAACACATTTAAAACACATGCAAAAGCCACGGACGTCTCAAAGGTGACTTTCCCCACAGGGCTATTTCTGATGGTTTCCCTCCCAATGCAATTGAAACTGGAACTTGCAAACATAAAAAACCCTCTTTGAACTTTCCTCTCTGTTCTGCTGCACACATGTGGTGAAATTGCCCCATCTCCATAATTGCACAAACCTCAAGCAGATCTCAACCCAGGCCCGGAAGTGATTGACTTAATCTTTATATTGATCAATGGGGGAGGCAGTTGTTTTGTTTTTCATTTTTGTGCGGGTTCTTTTTATGCCTGTGCAAAGTATTTCAAGATGTCTGCAAAGACAGCACTGGAGATGGTTGGAAAGTCAGTTGTAGCAGAGGAGGGGGATTCAGTGGTGGGGGTTCTACTTTTTTATTTCGGGGATTTGAATAGATTTGGACAGAAAGGTCAGCTGGATAGCAACAAGTAGACTTGACAATATGGTATACACTTTCCTCCATCTGGAACCTGGTGCGGCTACATTTCTGTGGCTTAAAGGCCAAAAGATAAAGCATGCCCCCCACCACACCCCCGTGAACATTTCCATCCTCTTCTTTGAACTTTCAGCTTTCAGTTTTACAAAGTATTATCTAGATCCTTTCTTTGTACAAAGAATAAGGAAACTCCCTTCACTGTCTCCTGTTGGCTGCATGTTTTCCTCTTTTCTCAGACCTTCCCCACCTTTTGCATCATATATTTTAAACTGCGGCGTAGGGGGCAGATCTCATTTTTTCACTCAGTGGTAAGCCGCTCCAGAAGACTTTTTCTGGCTCCAGATGACAAAAATGCCATCAGTAAAGAAACAAAGCTAATTTTGCCCTAAAAGCTCAGTGAGACTAGAACTGGCCTCCCCGATGAGCAATTCAGTTCATTTTTAAATCAGGATTTACTTTCTGGATCAAACATGGACTCACATCCAATTTGCAGTGAAAGTCTGTATAGTTCCAATTTTGAAATATCATCCATGGACTAAAAAAAATGCTTGTGTCTGAAAGCATGCCAAAATTTGAAAAATGCACCCGAAAAAATGTACTTTTCAAAAATGCGCACAGCTTCAATTTATGAAAGGGAGAAGAAGTTGTGCATTTTGGAGACGTGCACAGTTGCTGAGTACAGTTGGAAAACTGTGCTGGAAAAGAACCGCCCATTTCATGTGGAAAGCAAAGGAAAAGCTGGCAGTCTCACGCTGGCAGGAGCTGGAACAAAGTTTGAGATGGAATTTAGAAAACTTTGGCGAGCTCAAGTTTTGCTCATTTGCACATGCCTAACAAAAAGTGCAAAAGGGTTTGTGTGCATGCGTGTGCGTGCATATATGCATGTAACTATAGCCTATCATCCACCACCATGGTGTAGGCTGAACAGAGCTGGGTCAATTGAAACAAAACTGCTTCCGTGGATGAAGATTGTTCATGGATGAATGTTCTTTTGAGTCGTGCCAGATTTGCTGTGTCCCTGTGACCAAATGGTCAAGAACAGGTTGAATGGATGGAGCAAATGGCCTTCCCCCCTCTGACTTTCCCCGTGATGGCAGTTTTGTGCACATCTGCAATCTCCTGGGGCTCTGAGGCTGCTCTTGGTCTAATTTTGATGTGGCAGCTAGGTGGGGGATGCTGGGGTGGGATGGTAGCCAATGAACTCCAAGGGAGTGGATATCAGATGGTACTCAGGGAGCCCCCTCTGCTGGCTAAATGGCAAAGTGAAGGAAGTTCTTGGCTGCAAGGGGAGCTGAGGGTTTGTGTTCCAAAAGTGAAACGATGTAGGATAGACATCCAAGTAGCAAAGGGATTATTTAGGCAGCGCAGTAGCTAAGCTGGCATATGTGTTGAGCTCCACTTTCTGCTCTTGCATGGTCAATGGAGCAGTCCTTTGCCTTCTGCACTCCAGAATTCGCTTTCCTGACTGCTTTGCTTTCCTCCAGCTTTCTATAACCTGCCAGTCTAGGCTCAAAGATGGCCCTAAGCTGAACCCTGTCCAGGCTGTGACAACAAAGCCTTTTGGGGAAAACACACACATGGAAATATATGCAGATTTTCATGCCAACAACAGCGACAACGCTCCAAATCTTAGAAGGACTCAAGCATAAACCAGCTTCGAGATGGAATTTGAGTGTGAGTTTTATTGATTCTCACACCCCGGACCGCAGGCAGGGGCATGCCTCCCACTCCTTTCTGTGCTGGTCAAGGCCATTCCTATGGAATTTTATTTATTTACTCCAGTTTTATACCACCCAGCATCCAAAGGGTGCTGTAGAACGTCACCCTGGCACCTTCTGAGGCTTTGCCAAAAGCTTTTCACAGTCAGGAGAAAAAGAAAGAACCTGAAGGTTGCCTTTAAAACAAGATTGCAGGAGAAAGTAGAACCATCTCTGTGCCAGAGCATGTGCTTGGCCCCTCAGCTCTGGTCCTCCGGCACCTAAGATGCTATAAAGCAGGGGGAGACTCTGCCCCATTTGGTCTGGGGGCACCAAGTGTGCGTTCCTGATCATTGTGTTGCCCCCTGTGGCTCCTAGGCAGGGAGGGAGGTGGGTATGCAAGAAGCTGCTGGCAGGACATATTCCCCTGCAGGAGAGAGACCTGGCTGTGCAGGCTGCCCCATGAAGGTCTCTCTCTGTTATGGCAATAGGCATTTCGATGTTGTGCATAGGATGTGGGCCCCTGCCATGCGCCAGGCAGAGAGTATGGTGGAACCTGCAGCCCATGGATACCTGCCTTGAGCATATTTCACCAGCTGGTCTATGAGAACCATGGCAGACCCATAAAATCAGTTCAGCCTGGGGCTGCATAGCTCCTTGAAGATGTCCAGGTGTTCTCCCTTAGGTGTGGGGCTTATTGCAGAGCAGGGATGCCTTTCAAAATATCTTGGACCCGTCTTTCTCCAACGGTGTGGCAGTGTGCTGTAAGAAAGTGGGTGGGGGGGGGGATCCCAAAGATTAACTGAATACTTCTTGTGAATCCAAAGTACTCATTCACAGAAGAATCTTCCCATTTGCAGGCCTCTCTTGAATGGCCGTGGTTAGGAACACAGGAATTCACAATATGCCTATTATTCTGTTAGTCATTCAGACTAATAATCTATTAGTCAATTTATTACAGTATCCTCTGTGCCAAAGGGAGACAGAAATAAGACCACTAGATGGTTTGGATTTTAGCTCCTAGCATTCCTGAACATAAGCTCTGCTGGGAGAAGCTTCTGGGAGTTGGAATCCAGAACTTCTGGAGATCTACACATCCCTGGTTTATGCTGATGGTAAAGCTCCAGAGGTTCAGAGATCCCTACCCTTCCTGAAGAAGCTGGGGACAGGGCCTGGGTCCTTGTGCCTTATTGCTGGTTTATGGGTCCCACCACGACAGAGGAAACTCTTCTATGCCGAATCTGACCATGGGACCATCTGGCTCAGTAATGTTTACTCCAGTCTTCTCCAACTCTTTTGGATGAAGTCCTTTTAGACTTAGGCAGCATGATACTTTGACCCAGGATGAAGGCAAGACAGATGTATTGATTCCATGAAATCAGTTCTCTATGTGTCTTATGGAATCTTGGGTATCTTTCATTCCTTTTCTCACTCATTGATGGAAACTTGGGGTGAGAGAGTTAACCAGAACTGAGGACTACTCCTGCTAATTTGGGCAGGTGGAACTCTTGTACCCTTCCTAGTGGAGGGATCCGGCAAACAGCTGCTCTGCCACTAGGTGAACCGAGTGTTGGATCGGATGGCCCTTTGGTCAGATTCACCAAAATCCAAACACATTTGAATCTGTTGCATATTTCTCCAAATTCCTTCCCTAGCAGTCTGAAACATCTTGAGAGCCGGCTGGTCAAGTGGTCTCCAGCCACTCTCTGGGGTTTCAGGCAGAGGCCCTTTCTAGCCTTACCTGGAAACTCCAGGGATTGAACCTGGGGCCTTCTGTATACAAAACAGATGTTCTGCCACTGAGCTAGAGGTCTTTCCTGGAAGCTTTCTGGGACCACCATAGCTCCTGGCAGCAGGACTGGTGGGTGGCAGTGCCTCTCAGCAGAACCAGTGGTGCTTGAGCCAGCAAGCCGAAAGCTTGCTTGAATGGATGTTTCTACATTACCTGCATTGCTGCAGCTGCCCTAAATGGGAACAGACGCTTTGACTCTGCATCTCTGTTTCCAATTCAGTCTGAGTGGACAAGTTATGAAATGAGATCACCACCGGCGGGGACTGGAGAGGCCAGAAAAAATCTACAAAGCAAGACTAGTTTGAAAACACAAAATAAATGACTACCTTCTGTCCAGCAATCAAAGGAAGGGGACACCCTCCCTCTTTCTCCCTCTCTCCATGTTGTTTCATTTTCTATGCCAGGATCCAAGCTAATTAGCTGGAAGGAAGGAAGTGGTTCCAAATTTTAGGTTGCTCACTGCCTGTTTGAGCTGAAATGGTGAATATGTGTTCATCTGCAATTGATGAGCTGTGGGGTCCCTGCTAAGACTCCCAGAAATGATGGCATGGCATGATGCAATGGAAGGTTTATGAAGAAACAAAAGCTTCTGCTCACCAGACTCCTTTCAGTTCCATCTCATTCTGATTCAGTTCCATATCAGATTGCGAACTTTGCTTTTCTCCTTTTCTCAAGAAAATCTGTGCCTGTTTTCATCTGATGTTTCCAAATGTGTGCATGCATCGTGCTTATCTTTGAAATGTAGCCCTTCTTCTCCCACTGAAGTGTATTCCTGCACGTCTTTCACAAGTGTGCGTGTTTTCCCCCTGGGCAGCTTTCAAATATAGGCATGCTGGAATCTCTGAACTTTTGGAGGCCTATCCTCAGCACCGAGCCATGAGGAACAGAAGATCTCCAGAAGGTTTGGACTTCAACCCCCAGAAGTTTCTGCCAG